GAAAAATCTGTAGAAAATGGGAGGGGGGAGTAGAGGAAGACAACGAGAGAAGATTCTTGACAGTCTTGTTGCATGGCATGGAGGTGTGTCAGCACACGAACCGAAACATCAAGGATTGTAGAGAGGAATGCCCCAGGATGCAAGGAACATGATGATGAGTCGCTATTCCAGTTTCACAGCAAATGGGTCAGCCCATAATTTGTCACCAGGTCACCGATGCCAACTGTCACAAAAATATCTTTCATTTTATAGTAGAGAAGCAGACATTGAAGATACGTTCTCTAATTTCCCGTGTGCATATATACTGTGATATTGCTGTAGAAGTGGAGGGGTGTGTCCAGAGTGCTGTGGTGTCGATTAGTAATTCAACATAGGGAAGATATTAATTTGACATTTGGGAGGACAAGATATAAACAACACTGCCAGAAATAGGACATGTGGAGATGGAAAGATATAAGTACACTGCCAGAAATAGGACATTGGGGGAGGGAAAGATATAAGTACACTGCCAGAAATGGGACATTGGGGGAGGGAAAGATATAAGTACACTGCCAGAAATGGGACATTGGGGGAGGAGGGGAATAAACACACTGCCAGAATTTAGACATGGTCGGAAAGGATATAATAACACTGCCCGAAATTTGACATCTCCGTAGGAAAAGATAAAAGCAAATTGCCAAAAATTGGACGGAAGGATATAAGCATACTGCCAGAAATGGGACATGTGGGAAGGAAAAGATGTCAGCACACAGTGAGAAATAGGTCATGTTAAGGAGGAAAGATATGAGGGCATTGCTAGAAATGACACTTGTGGGGAAGTATGTCAGCGAAGCATTTCATGATTTTAATGAACATTTTGCAGGTGAAAAGAACCAAGTGTGGCAAGAAAAATACTGGCTGCCGACCACGCCTGTGTAAAAGATGAAACCTTAATCAAGAATACGATGTGACAACTCAGGAAACATCTGCAAACCACAAGAGCAGAAAAAAGGACAAGAAAAAAAAAAAGAGGAGTTAGTAATAAGAACACAGTAACCTGATGATATGTATAAGAATCATAAATCTGCAAGCTGGTCTTATTCAGATGCAAAGCAAACTTATGGACCACTCAGAATCTTGTGGCAGCCAGCGAAGGCTTCTGTGAACACACCGGCAGACACGTACAAGCCATATCCATTGCTGACCCTGGCGATGCCAAACTATCCCAAGATTCCACTGCCACAGCCTTGGGGAGTGTCCGTGATTCCAGATTTAAAACTAGGTACGTTTTGTGTGTGGGGTCATAAGGTTAATCATAGCCTCAATGCTGGTTATGTAACCCATGTGTATAATCATGTCATTACACTTTGTATACTCGTATCACCTACATATAGCACTGAAGGTTGTTTACCCATGTATGTCACTTCAAGCTATGTAACCATATTACTCACATATTCCACTATAGTTATTTAACTATATTACCCATTTGCATGGAGGTGTGTCAGCACACAAACTAACATGGCGGTGTGTCAGCTTTAACGAACAGCAGGAAAGTGAGCCCATGTTACACACAATGACATGAGCATGTGCACTGGAGTAGCGATGTGCAAGACGAGATGTCATTTTTCACTGGCTCAAGCCTTCCACACACCCACATGGTGAAGCCTGTTCTCACACACCCACATGGTGAAGCCTGTTCTCACACACCCACATGGTGAAGCCTGTTCTCACACACCCACATGGTGAAGCCTGTTCTCACACACCCACATGGTGAAGCCTGTTCTCACACACCCACATGGTGAAGCCTGTTCTCACACACCCACATGGTGAAGCCTGTTCTCACACACCTACATGATGGACCCTGTTCTTCCCAGTAATCCAGAGCAAGGTTGGGGTTCCAACCCTCAGGGACAGCAAATGAGATAAAAGAAAGATATGGTTGCATCTGCCAGCTGAGTTGAGTGTATGGTGTGATGTGGATTTCATGTGGGATGTTTATTGTGTGTTTTCCTATAAAGTTTTGCTGTGAGCTGCATATTCACAAATTTGCAGGTTGATTGGTTGCCACAGAATTGGCAGATAACCTTATACAGTAATGCCCATACAGCTGCTGGTTTGTTGTGACTGCTGCTTCTGTCAAGCATGAACAGCAATTCTAGTGACAGACTGTTGTTGTCTGCAACTCTGGCAGTTGCCTTATGCATGTGCAAGCTGATAGATTTTGCCACGTCTGCTGTTTGTTTGACCTTGTACTTGGGACAGCAATAGACACCTGTTGTTTTCACTGAAACACGGCAGTTATGGAGTGACACGTTTACCATAAAGATTAAACTATTAATGGAACCTGATAACATCAGATTATTGCATTTCCAGCATCACAATAACCAGGTCACCCCAAGATTGCTCTGTTCCTGTGCCAACAAAAACCACATAGAATGTCCATCACCGTTCCTTGTGTACAAAATTGTCACTTACTGCAATTTTAGCAAAACCAAAAGGGTACACAAGAAAAGATAAGGCAGCCACCAGAAGTGCTAACACACATAGTCTGACACTAGAAATGCAGTTCAGCATCAATTAACAAGAACAGATCAGTAGTTGCACATGCAGTTAACCACATAAGACACCATCAAATACTCTGGCACCAGGCCACTCACCTGACAGCATGTGCAATGTAAATGTGTCTTCTGTCCTCAGCGTGCCCAGTATATCCACACCCTCCTGATCTGGGCACCTTCACAACACAGGCTTCGCTGGTGCTGGCCAAATACTACGAGAACCACATGCGAGCTGACCATTCCCCGCAGAAGCAGATCCTGCAATACTGATGGCTTTCTTTGGTCAGGGCAACAAACATTTTGACCGTTTGCATCAAATTATGTGATCGCCATAGTTTACAAAAGCACACAGAATGGTTACTACTACAAGCTGTAGATATCGTACAGAATTGTTACCACACAAAATGTAGATATCATACAGAATTGATAACACCAAAGGCTGTATATATCTTCTTTGGTTCTACTGCTTATGCCACAAATAAGAGAATAGAACTTACTGAGGTGACATGCCTTTCAGCTTATACAGTCCGCTCTTCAAGCCTCCAGTAAATGTGGCTAGTCTATTGACAACAGACATGTTTCACCTTAATGTTCAACATGAAAAAAAAATAACAAAGTGAGACAAAAATAGTTTAATGTCTATTTCAAAAACGTCTGATCTGTTTATAATTCAAGACAACAAGACAATTACTGACATAACGCTGTACTTTTATTCAGTGTATTACTGAGAAAACATTGAAGCACACCACACAAATTACTAGCAAATCAGTTTATGTAGATATATGATCTCCTGCACAAACAACATCAACACTGGTCTGTCATGTTTGATTCTAAATGTAATCTGTTCTACAGCGAAGCTCGCAGACAAACTCACAGTAACATTTTCACACAATTCACAGCCTCATGTTTTTCTAGTTCACGTTTAACACAGAGGTTCTGACTTACTCATCATTTAAAACACACTGAATGAGGTTTTTTTTAAAAAACTTATAAGTACAATCTTCTTTGCCAAACACAAACCTGTTCAATCTTACTCGAGTTTCTCTCTTAACTGGTTAATAGAATAAACATCTATGTTATCTCTCTGTTGGCAAATGAAATAAACAACTTTCATGTTTCTCAGTGAATGGAATTTACAACTTAATGTTTATCACTTGGTTGTAGAATGAAATATACAACTTCTATGCTGGTGAACAGAATACACTTTTGTGTATATCTCTTAGTTGTTGAATGGAATATACAGTTTGGGTGCTTATTTTTATAGTGTTTACTTCCAGCTGATCAAAGAGCAGGCTAATAAATTGTAATTTCCTTGCATGTCTACATATGTTTTCACACAAACAGGTTATCAAATGCATATTTTCCATGACTCACGACCACAGACAATGAGAGTGTATCTGTTTGAAAGATTGCAAGGGTGAGTAAACGAGCTAAAAATGTGCACTGGGTTGAAAAACTTCTAGAGGGTACCAAACAACAGATAACAGCCCTAGGAATGTTATCTTTACCTAACGAACTTTACAACAGATCTGCATGTTGTATATTCTATTCAAAAATGTGAAATTGCCTGTGTATTAACAGTCCAGTAGACAAAGTACACAAAATGCAGACCAAGGACAAGATGGGAAGAGAAAATCAGAGACATTCAACAACAGTATGATGTGTCTGTAGTCGAGGCAGTTAGAAGTGCAAAAAGCAGAACCTTATATCTCCCTCGACACCCCAAGTGGTAAAAGAGGGAAATAAAGAAGAAGAAGAATGAACATTTTAAATTTAAAATGCAAAATCCCAGGAACAGAAACTGACACAAGATACTAGTTACTGCACCACTGAATTCTTCCATTCTTGGCGCCCCCCAAAAATTGTAGAACTCCAAGAATACAGACCGACACAAGATACTAGTTACAGCACCCCTGAATTCTTCCATTCTTGGCACCAAATAAAATGTAGAACCCCAAAAACAGAAACTGACACAAGATACTAGTTACAGCACCACTGAATTCTTCCATTCTTGGCACCAAATAAAATGTAGAACCCCAAAAACAGACCGACACAAGATACTAGTTACAGCACCACCGAATTCTTCCATTCTTGGCATCAAATAAAATGTAGAACCCCAAAAACAGACTGACACAAGATACTAGTTACAGCACCACCGAATTCTTCCATTCTTGGCACCCCTCAAAAATTGTAGAACCCCAAAAACAGATCGACACAAGATACTAGTTACAGCACCACTGAATTCTTCCATTATTGGCACCAAATAAAATGTAGAACCCCAAAAACAGAAACTGACACAAGATACTAGTTACAGCACCACTGAATTCTTCCATTCTTGGCACCAAATAAAATGTAGAACCCCCAAAAACAGACCGACACAAGATACTAGTTTCTGCACCACTGAATTCTTCCATTCTTGGCACCCACAAAAATGATGAATCAAATCAATGAGGTACTGGATGATCACGACTCCACTGGTTCTCTTTCTTTTGTTTCTTTCTCTTTATTCCAGTTCTCCAAACCTTTAGGCAGAGTAGTGTCTTCTTCAAAGGAGCCTAGAACAAAATAAAGTTGGAGATGTATCATCCACCTTCCTAAAGCATTCAACAAACATGAGGGTTCATTAAGCGCTGGGACTGATTTCTTTTACGTCCACGAGACTACAATATGTAACATGATGACTGTAATATAGGTCACCCGCCAGCATTTACGTATGTATAAGCTAAATTGGAATTTGCTATATTTGCGCAAACTGCAAGCCTATAATCAGACATGATCTTGCGGTGTATTTTCAAAAAATGTTTATAAAATAAATATTCAGCAAAGTGTGTGCAGTAATCTCTGCCTAAAGTGTCTTGGATCAACTTGTCTGAAATGTTGTATCAGCTTTCAAACACTTCTGATTAGGCTCTTCTAGTTCACATTTTACCAGCTGTAAACTTTTGCAGAAAGTTCAGTTTGTTGGTTCACTTTAGTGTTCTAGAACTTGAGCTCTACGATATGACATTATTTGCATGCAGACTGTTGGTTCCTTGCCTTTTGGACACATGCACTCCTGCTTTGAAGGAAACACCCCTAATTAATAGATTTAAAAAAAAAATACATGCTTGTCATATGGGCAGTGGATCTATTCTTACACATCACAGACATCTCAATGGTTTGCCTTTGTCAAAAGTGGCCTTCAAAGATGATTCCCCACCATGGCAGACCATCCAACTCTAACACAGATCAGAAATCCTACATGCGGATTGACATTTGACTACAAAGGAGAACAATAAATTCTACAAATCGGTCTCCCAACAAACACCTCCATGATTTAGTGAGCAGAAATTACCCCAAGAAGTGGCATACCAACATTTCAATACTGCACCATACCAATACCCACACAGAGTATTTTCATTCTCTGGTGCTTTACACAGAACCCCAACCTGCCTCACTGTATGGAAATGAGTCTTTTACTTAAAACGTGGAAGTTGCAGAGAAGTAGCAGAGGCTAAGTACAGCATTTATATTTAGGAAGCCGCCCTGTAAAAATTGTATTCAGCTATTAAGATGAACAAATGAGAGGGTCTACAATCTGTACTTTGAAATGTCTGAGAATCAACATCACAACACCCAGGGCATTTCCCATAAATGCTCCATACTAATCTTCAGCAGCCAGCAAGAATGTCATTACTACTGGTACCAGGTGTAATCTATATGTTTATTTCACCTTTCTTCTGAGCAATGAGTGCCAACCCAGTCCTCTGGTAACTGCCTTTTGCATCATTCTGTCCAGACCATGGTGATCTGCCTGTTATTTTGTGTTGTTTATGTGTCTCCAAAGGGCATTTACCCCCATCTACCTTCTCCTGAAACACTCAGTTGTGCAGAACTAGCCAATATATCTGCTATTTATTTCCCAACACACCAGCATACCTGGAGAAAAGATCCAAAAATTTCTAACTACTCTTAAAGTATGCAATTCTGTATGCAGCACAGGTCTTCATCTGTCTTACCATATCATATTTCAAATGTATGCAGCACAGGTCTTCATCTGTCTCACCGTATCATATTTCAAATGTATGCAGCACAGGTCTTCATCTGTCTCACCATATCATATTTCAAATTTATGCAGCACAGGTCTTCATCTGTCTCACCATATCATATTTCAAATGTCTACAATCAATCAACACTATCACATACCTGTCCCAGCCACAAATTCCTCATACGTTGATTTCTCCGCAAATGGTCTCTTGCCCAAGAGTTCAATCATATCGTCCTTGTCAAGCTTCTCCTTCTCTAGCAAGCGTAGCGCCACCTGGAGCCAACAAAAAAAACAACAGTTGTCAATTTGCTTGCAGCTTAAACATCTCATTAGCCAATCATAAAGATGAATCGAGGCACGTGATAGGGTTCAGAATGCTAAAGAGATGAATGTAGGCAGGTGATATCCAAAGCAATGAACCTCAAGGTTTAGAATGCTAAAGGGATGAATAGTGGTAGGTGATATCTGAAGCAATGAACCTCAAGGTTTAGAATGTTAAAGGGATGAATGGAGCCACGTGATTTCTGAAGCTATGAACCTCAATGGCTTGAAATGTTTAAAAAGAAGATAAATATCATCATCAAGTAGCAGGTCCTTGGCAGAATGTTGTTCTAATCACACCTGCCAGAAAGACTCAATCTTCCAGTCAACATGGAGAACATGTAAGTAAGTTTAATGTTTTTTTAGTTGGGACAATTCAAGCAGTTGAGAGCTTATGCTCCATGTGGAGACAAAGAAGAAGAATAAGAGTGACAGTCATATGTGACAGTGTAACTGTGCTGTCTGAAGTGAAAACACTCATACTGTCTTACATGCTAGTGAAGCTGTCATGTGTTATATGGCAATGATGTGGAGAGGACTGCAAGAAGCAAGCAGCACTCACCTTCTCCACTTGGTCTCTGTGTAGTTTGACGAGGTCCAAAGTTCTCTGATAGGCATGCTCCACGATCTTCCTGACCTCCTCGTCAATGAGCTGGGCTGTTGCCTCACTGTAGGGCTTTGTGAATGTCATCTCACCCTGCTGGCTCGTATCAAACGACAGCTGGCCGACTTTCTCGTTCATTCCAAATATGACAACCTGGCAACATGTTAGTAGTTTCTTTGAAACACAATAACACATGCACAATGGTGATTGACAAACATACCTAATACACACCAGTGACTGACAGATAGTTCTAATACACAACCGTAACATATATAGACTTAATACACACCAGTGACTGACAGATAGTTCTAATACACAACCGTAACATATATAGACTTAATACACATCAGTGATTGGACAATCGGATCTAATAGACAAGAGTGATTGACAAATAGATCTAATACACAGTGATAGACAACAAGATCTAATATACAAGAGTGATTGACAAATAGATCTAATACACAGTGACAGACAACAAGATCTAATAGACAAGAGTGATTGACAAATAGATCTAATACACAGTGTTAGACAACAAGATCTAATAGACAAGAGTGATTGACAAATAGATCTAATACACAGTGATAGACAACAAGATCTAATCTACAAGAGTGATTGACAAATAGATCTAATACACAGTGACAGACAACAAGATCTAATATACAACAGTGCTTGACATTCTGGTTTTGATTGACATTCACACAACAGAGACTGACAAACAGATCTAATACACAACCGTTATTGACAAATAGATCTAACACACAACAGTAACTGATAAATAGATCTAAATGTCATGCCTCGAGACCACAATATTCAGAGTGGGAGGCAAGACTTGACAATCCAGCTATCAGACCTCCACATGATATTCAGTGGGAGGCAAGACTTGACTTTTCAGCCATTAGACCTCCCATGATATTCAGAGTGGGAGGCAAGACTTGACTTTTGAGCCATTAGACCTCCCCATGATATTCAGAGTGGGAGGCAAAAAGCTTGACCATGCTGCCATAAGATGATCAGCTGTAACAAATGAACAGAACATAAACAGCATATCACATAGAGAACCTAATGCCTGGAGTGAAATAATGCACTTACTTGTGAATAGGCCGTCTGTGTGACCTTCTTCAGGTCATCCTGAGCTCCGGTGGTAATTTTACCAAAAAAGACGGACTCAGCCACCCTGCCACCAAGCATCATACACATGCGGTCCAGCAGCTGTGTACACAATATCCAGCAAAACATATGTACATACATAAATATATTTATTTCACTTATCTCTAAATTATTTCCTTCACAGTTTCTGTACTCTCCTTTGACTGTGTTTCCAAGAAATATGGTCTATTATTCATCTCCTTTTCTCAATATGATATGAAATGTGTCTAATGAGATCTGACTGCAGCTTGCACCTGGTATACAATGTCTAGTGAGAATATTCACTAGAGTTAGTTAGTACCTAACATACAAGGTCTAAGGAGAGAAACAGAATTCGCTCAACGTTATGATGAATTAGGAGCTGATATAACGGCACTGTTGAGGAAGCCGCCCTGTAAAAATTGTATTCAGCCATTAAGGTGAACAAATGAGAGGGTCTACAATCTGTACTTTGAAATGTCTGAGAATCAACTCAGGACATTCCTATAAGTGCTCTGTCTCCTTCAGAAGCCAACAAACAGCTCCCTGTTGATGGCGCGACTGATAACCTTATTTAGTCTGCCTATTTTATACCAGCTTTTTGGCTGTTTATGGCTTTGCCATGCAATTTACATTCAGTAGTTTGCCACTGCTTCTTGACTCCATACCACTATCGAAATAAATACAAAATGATCTGCTGTTAAATCAATGGCAGCTGAATCGAACCAAGTATTTCAGAATTACGAAGCGCATTCTCAATACCTAAGCCAGACGCTAACCCAAAGAGGAAAGACTGGCCTAAAACTGGTATAGAATTAACAATTCACATCATATTTCAATGACATAATCTGCAAGGAAACTGCATTTCTAGAGCCATATTGTTTGTGTTGGCACTTCTGATGGCTGCCTTATGCATTTAATGCATGTGTATGCTATTGGCTTTGTTGAGACTGCAGTCTGTATCAAGTTTTCCACAAGGAACAGTGATGGACATTCTGTGCAGTTTTCATTGGCGCAGGAATGGAGCAAGTGTGGGGTGACCCACTGGCTATGAAGTTGGAACTGATTACCTGATTATCTTCTAAGGAACTACTTTTGACCTGCTATGAATTTTAAGCAAGCAACATTCTTCTTCAATAATTTGAAGCTGAAAAGTCTTGGAATGAGTCTCACCTGTTCCTGTGTGTACAAGTATTGTTCCTTCGGCAGATACTGTGCATAACCAAGACCCTTTCCTCTTGGAATTATTGACACCTGAAAGATTAATGAGTTTTTAATAATAAACATATTAAAAATCAACATGATTTTGACACACTAAAATTAAGTTAATTATTCAACATCACGTGTCTTTCTGAGTGGCATGGGTGATCAGTGTTATAATCACAAGAAAACACAGAAATTACAGATTTGTACAATCTATGCAATTATCATAGTGCCGTGAAAATGATAGCTGAGTTATTACGGTATTTAAATATATTTGTAATCATTTATAAAAGTATTCAGTGAAGTCAGTATTACCTTCAACAGTGGGTCAGCATGTTCCAAGAACCACCCAGTGACAGCATGTCCAGCCTCATGGTAGGCTACCGTCTTCTTCTCTTCCGGCTGTAGCACCTGAGTTTTCTTCTCCAGACCTGACACAGATACAGACACCATCTAGATTTATACATCCCCACCTGACAGACACTAAACATAGACATAGGAATACATGTTCACACAATACCCATATGTCAAAATGGATAACAGTTGATCCGGAAATGCTGATAATACAACAGACAGATAAAATAGGGAACAAACAGAGAAATGTTAACACTACCACAGACAGACATAACCGAGGATTGACAGTAGACATCTTAACAATATCATACATACAAATGAAGGACACAAAAATATTAACAATACCACAGACACACAACTGAGGATAAATAGCAGACATCTTAATAATATCACACTTACATAATGAAGGATAAAGAAATGTTTGCAAACCACAGAAAGACATAACTGAGGATAAAAAGCAGACATTTTAACAATATCAGACATATAAAATGTGGAATAAAGAAATGTTAACAATACCACAGACAGACAAAAAAAATGAAATGTTAAGAATGCAACAGACAAAATGAAGGACAAAGAAATTTTAACAATACCACAGACAAAATGAAGGACAGATAAAGAAATGTTAACAATACCCCAGACAGACAAAACAGACGGTAGACAGAAATGTTAAAACTAGAACAGACATGTTAAAACAACATCAAGTTTACTCAAAATGACTGGATCCATGTAAGTAAAAGATCTTTTCATACCTCTGGCATTCAAGGCATATTGTGCTAGACCTCTATTTATATAGACCCCTCGCTGGTTATGTGGTCAACATCACACTGGCTACATTTACCCCCCAGGACATGACCTGGTGCTCATTTAGACTGGGCTGACTGTCATAGCCCTGTGGGACAGAGTATAGACAATACGTCGTGTAACTACATGTTGGTGTTTGATGGACCAAAAATGTGCACCAGCGCTCAGCCAGTTGATTTGATGATACGGGGAAAACCCGAGATTCGTGAACACTGGTGCAACGTACACGTTTGAACCGGAGCTGAACGGGGAGAGGAGAGAAAAAGGACGGCGAGGATGAGGACATTTTGAGAGACGCGATTGTATTTTTTAGTTAGGAATTGACAGATAGGTTGTGTAGTGTTAACGCTGTCGTCGTATGTGTTGGTTTGCTGTTGTTATTCCTCGAGTGCTGATAGTATGCTAAGACAGTTGTGTTGGGGTTGTACCATGTTTAGGTAGGTGTTCTTGTCCCTGGATTTTTGTGGGTTATCTATCTGCGTTTTGTGCTGTTGTTGACATTGTCCGCTAATACTTGAACCACTCACCCTGCGTGTGCCACTGAGTCTCGCATGGCGAAGATCGTAGCCTAGTTGGCGCTGCACTACAGGAGGTGGAATCGTGTCCTTTGGTATATCCATGGGAATGGCCCGGGGTGGATAGGTAAATATAACTGCCGCCACTGCCCTAGCGTTCCGGATTAGGGGACTGTCCATAACTGTAGAGGTTGTTGTAGGCGATATTGTTCTTTGGCCATTAAAGATGATGTGTGTGCTTCATTTGTGTATGTGTTGAGTGTTTTGGTATAGTTTGTCTGTCACAGGGCCGTACAGCGAGCCCTAGTTCAATAATATAGATATCAGGTCCTTGACACTGACCTGAGAGCTAAGGTCAATACAGAGACAAAAAATTGACCTTGATGCAGATTTGAACCCAAGACATTCACACCTGCATATGAGTGACTAGCTGCTATGATACCGGGCCTCCCAGGAAACAAGTAATATTCACTAATTTTGTAGCTGGTGCTGATGATATTCTAAGCATGTGTGGATACAAACCTGCCACAACTCTTTCAATGGCTTGTTCAAAATGCTTCAGGTGGATGGAGGTGTTCAGATCTCTTGCGGCTATCAGTGCTGCTTCATTACACACGTTGGCAATGTCAGCTCCTGTATGTACAACACGCAACACAATGGAGATGTCAGCATCATCACAACAACAATAATCACTGGTAAAAGTCAGATTTTAGCTCTGTCCCAACAACAACAATCACTGGTATATATCACATTTTAGCTCTGTCCCAACAACAATAATCACTGGTATATATCACATTTTAGCTCTGTCCCAACAACAACAATCACTGGTAAAAGTCAGATTTTAGCTCTGTCCCAACAACAACAATCACTGGTATATATCACATTTTAGCTCTGTCCCAACAACAATAATCACTGGTATATATCACATTTTAGCTCTGTCCCAACAACAATAATCACTGGTATATATCACATTTTAGCTCTGTCCCAACAACAATAATCACTGGTATATATCACATTTTAGCTCTGTCCCAACAACAACAATCACTGGTAAAAGTCAGATTTTAGCTCTGTCCCAACAACAATAATCACTGGTATATATCACATTTTAGCTCTGTCCCAACAACAACAATCACTGGTATATATCACATTTTAGCTCTGTCCCAACAACAATAATCACTGGTATATATCACATTTTAGCTCTGTCCCAACAACAACAATCACTGGTAAAAGTCAGATTTTAGCTCTGTCCCAACAACAACAATCACTGGTATATATCACATTTTAGCTCTGTCCCAACAACAACAATCACTGGTATATATCACATTTTAGCTCTGTCCCAACAACAACAATCACTGGTATATATCACATTTTAGCTCTGTCCCAACAACAACAATCACTGGTATTTATCACATTTTAGCTCTGTCCCAACAACAATAATCACTGGTAAAGATCACAATTTAGAGTTGTCACAACAGTAATCACTAGTATAGATCACATTTTAGCCTTGTCACAACAACAATAATCAATCAGACAGTTACTGGTGCCATTGGAATTAAACTTTGTTTGCTGCTGAAGATGGGGATGGAGCACGTATGGGGGTGCCCTGAGTGCTATGATGTTGATTCTAAATTCAACAATAATCACTGGTATTGATCACATTTTAGCTTTGCTGCAACAAATATAATCATTCAGGTGTAGGTCACATGTTCACACCTGTACATAAACCAAGCACGAGTTGTTGATCCCATTGTTTGATCATTCAACTGGTACTCGTGTGTGATGTTGTCTGCCTTGATGGGGATTTAAACCCGTGATCACAGGGACAAACAGGCACCTACACACCAGGGCCACCAAAAACAAAATGTATCACTATTCCCCGCACTCCACAACACTTTAAAAAAATGGCATAACTGCTTCCACAATACTCATAAAACATATTACCATTGTTCCCACACTTGACAATGCGTACACGACAGGACTATTCAACAGGCAGCCCGCGGGCTAAATTCAGCCCACAGAGGAAAGTAAGTGGCCCACTGATCATTACTTATTGTATTATATCAATGACATTTGTTGTACTGGGACTCCGGCATGTGGTCCGTGATGATTCTCACACACTCAACACTGTGGCCCTTGAGTAATCTTAGTTGAACAGCCATGGTATGTTATAAATATGACTCTTCTCACACTCCACCATACTTACAGTATGATTGTTTCCACAGCCAAAGGCTAATAATAGCGGAATAATAATGCAATCATTCCCACAACACTCCACAGCAAGCAATCCCACAACCCACACAATATCATGTGATCCCACAACCCACACAATATCATGTGATCCCACAACCCACACAATATCATGTCATCCCACAACCCACACAATATCATGTCATCCCACAACCCATACAATATCATGTCATCCCACAACCCACACAATATCATGTCATCCCACAACCCACACAATATCATGTCATCCCACAACCCACACAATATCATGTCATCCCACAACCCACACAATATCATGTGACATCCTACACCAAAAATGGTCACACCAGACATATAAGAAACTGGGATAAAGCTCTTCCACAACAGTCACCCTGAACTTGGCAGCAGGTTGGTATTTTAGTGTTGCCCTGAAAGACTAAGTCCATCATCTTTAAAAAAAAAAAAAAAAAAGGGTCTGAACCTGGATCTCTTGAATAAGAGCCCAGGATCTTAACCGTTCAATGTTGCTCCTAAACTTCCCCTTGATAAAATAAAATAAATTATAATTTACCAAAAATTCAAAGTTCATACCTGAAAAACCAGGCGTCAGAGCCGCCATCTTCCTGGCTAATTCATTAATGGGGATATCAGTTTTGAGCCGGCTTAAGTGAACCTTGAAAATGGAAGCCCTGGACAAGAAAAGCAATCATCACCACATGCAGGGGTTATCAGAGATACACAACAATCAGGAATATTTCTTCTGTGACCACCTTTAAAAGGGTGAGTGGATCAATGTGTTGCGGTCTAATGCTAGGCTGTAATATCTGCAGCTGTTGGCCCAACACATCAGATTTCAACAAACCCTTAATTAATCAACTGTTATGACCTGCTTTTTTTATATCTGTGCCAATGCTGGTCCCAAGGCCAGACTAGAACAAAGGAGGGTTGGGTATGGGGCTAGCTCTGTAAAAATAAAAAAAACCTTTGCAGCAGAATAAGAAAATGGTAAACATAAAACAGGATGGGGTGAAGAAATTAGAGAAATATCTCGGCAACCACTTATAACAAGGTATAAGAGAAAGAAGATGACCCTATATGGACACATCCTGAAAAGAAATCAGCAGAGAATCACCAGGCAGGCACTGAAATAGGAAATAAAGGGATGCAGGAGGCCAGGACAGCCAACAGAAATCCTAAAGTGGATGTTGATGAGAGAGGCCAAAGATGACAGATGGATTCCTTCCATGATATTGAAGCGACTGCACAGGATAGAGCGCAATGGAGGAATAACTGCGAGCCCTATGTGACCTATAGAAGCGGGTCTATCCCCCCACCCCCACGGGGTTACCCTGTGCCTTTGTTTACAGATCACCCCACGTCCTCCAAATCTTTTTCATAGCTGGTCAGTTTTTGTACAGCCCTGAATCAACCACACAGCATAATACTGCCAGATTTCATTCTTTTTGTACAGCCATGACTCAACCATACAGCATAATACTGCCTGCAGGTTTCATTATTCTTGTACAGCCATGAATCAACCATACAGCATAATACTGCCTGCAGGTTTCATTATCTTGTACAACCATGAATCAACATACAGCATAATACTGCCTGCAGGTTTCATTATTCTTGTACAGCCATGATTCAACCATACAGCATAATACTGCCTGCAGGTTTCATTATTCTTGTACAGCCATGATTCAACCATACAGCATAAAAACTGCCTGCAGGTTTTCATTATTCTTGTACAGCCATGAATCAACCATACAGCATAATACTGCCTGCAGGTTTCATTATTCTTGTACAGCCATGAATCAACCATACAGCATAATACTGCCTGCAGGTTTCTTATTCTTGTACAGCCATGAATCAACCATACAGCATAATACTGCCTGCAGGTTTCATTATTCTTGTACAGCCATGAATCAACCATACAGCATAATACTGCCTGCAGGTTTCATTATTCTTGTACAGCCATGAATCAACCATACAGCATAATACTGCCTGCAGGTTTCATTATTCTTGTACAGCCATGAATCAACCATACAGCATAAAACTGCCTGCAGGTTTCATTATTCTTGTACAGCCATGAATCAACCATACAGCATAAAACTGCCTGCAGGTTTCATTATTCTTGTACAGCCATGAATCAACCATACAGCATAAAACTGCCTGCAGGTTTCATTATTCTTGTACAGCCATGAATCAACCATACAGCATAAAACTGCCTGCAGGTTTCATTATTCTTGTACAGACATGAATCAACCATACAGCATAATACTGCCTGCAGGTTTCATTATTCTTGTACAGCCATGAATCAACCATACAGCATAAAACTGCCTGCAGGTTTCATTATTCTTGTACAGCCATGAATCAACCATACAGCATAATACTGCCTGCAGGTTTCATTATTCTTGTACAGCCATGACTCAACCATACAGCATAATACTGCCTGCAGGTTTCATTATTCTTGTACAGCCATAAATCAACCATACAGCATAAAACTGCCTGAGGTTTCATATTCTTGTACAGCCATGAATAACCATAAAACTGCCTGCCAGGTTTCATTATTCTTGTACAGCCATGAATCAACCATACAGCATAAAGCCTGCAGGTTTCATTATTCTTGTACACATGAATCAACCATACAGCATAAAACTGCCTGCAGGTTTCATTATTCTTGTACAGCCATGAATCAACCATACAGCATAATACTGCCTGCAGCATTTTCTGCAGGTTTATTCTTGTACAGCCATGAATCAACCATACAGCATAAAACTGCCTGCAGGTTTCATTATTCTTGTACAGCCATGACTCAACCATACAGTACAGCCATGAGGTTTCAACCATACAGCCAGCATAATACTGCCTGCAGGTTTCATTATTCTTGTACAGCCATGAATCAACCATACAGCATAAAACTGCCTGCAGGTTTCATATTCTTTCAGCCATGAATCAACCATCAGTACAGCCATGAATCTTGTACAGCATGAATCAACATACATAAAACTGCCTGCAGGTTTCATTGTTCTGCAGGTTTCACTGCCTTATTCATTATTCGTGTACAGCCATGAATCAACCATACAGCATAATACTGCCTGCAGGTTTCATTATTCTTGTACAGCCATGAATCAACCATACAGCATAAAACTGCCTGCAGGTTTCATTGTTCTTGTACAGCCATGAATCAACCATACAGCATAATACTGCCTGCAGGTTTCATTATTCTTGTACAGCCATGAACAACCATGATACAGCATACAAACTGCCTGCAGGTTTCATTATTCTTGTACAGCCATGAATCAACCATACAGCATAATACTGCCTGCAGGTTTCATTATTCTTGTACAGCCATGAATCAACCATACAGCATAAAACTGCCTGCAGGTTTCATGTACAGCATAAAACTGCATAATACTGCCTGCAGGTTTCATTATTCTTGTACAGCCATGAATCAACCATACAGCATAAAACTGCCTGCAGGTTTCATTATTCTTGTACAGCCATGACTCAACCATACAGCATAATACTGCCTGCAGGTTTCATTATTCTTGTACAGCCATGAATCAACCATACAGCATAATACTGCCTGCAGGTTTCATTATTCTTGTACAGCCATAAATCAACCATACAGCATTATACTGCCTGCAGGTTTCACTGTTCTTCTTGCACGGGGACCTGCTGCAGTAGTGGTACAGTCTCTAGATGCTTGCCTGCCTGCTGAAAGGGTTTGAGTTCATCAAAGTAGATTTTTTTATATCTGGGCTGGGCTCCATGCTTGATCCAGGCTAAAATAATACCAGAAAATTGCCTAGGAAGTAAAAGTGACTGGCACGATATTGGTCATATCACCCTTCAAATATTAACTGGATCTACAAAAACATGGGTGAAGCATCATAAAATATGCTAATATCATCACAAGGGCCCTTTACTTTGTTTTTTTCTTTCTTTTATTACCTTTTAACAAATAAGCTTTCCATAGTTATATCTACCAGGACATGTCTGTTCAAGTTGGAGCAAAGTGCTCCCCATTTAACTAGATCTTTTGTTTAACAGAACTAGTCTGACACTGATAAAGAACCAGTCTGACACTGACAGAGAAATAGTCTGACACTGACCGAGAAATAGTCTGACACTGACCGAAAACCAGTCTGACACTGACAGAGAAATAGTGTGACACTGACAGAGAACCAGTCTGACACTGACAGAGAAATAGCGTGACACTGACAGAGAACCAGTCTGACACTGACAGAGAACCAGTCTGACACTGACAGAGAAATAGTCTGACACTGACCGAAAACCAGTCTGACACTGACAGAGAAAAAGTCTGACACTGACAGAGAACCAGTCTGATACTGACAGAGAAATAGTCTGCCACTGACAGAGAACCAGTCTGACACTGACAAAGAACCAGTCTGACACTGACAGAGAAATAGTCTGACACTGACAGAGAACCAGTCTGACACTGACAGAGAAATAGTCTGACACAGACAGAGAACCAGTCTGACACTGACAGAGAAATAGTCTGACACTGACAGAGAACCAGTCTGACACTGACAGAGAAATAGTCTGAAACTGACAGAGAACCAGTCTGACACTGACAGAAAAAAAGTCTGACACTGACAGAGAACCAGTCTGATACTGACAGAGAAATAGTCTGCCACTGACAGAGAACCAGTCTGACACTGACAGAGAACCAGTCTGACACTGACAGAGAAATAGTCTGACACTGACAGAGAACTAGTCTGACACTGATACAGAACCTATCTGATGGTGTTGGAGATGCTTCCTTATGTTTGATAATATAAATTCCATCAATGATCACATATTTAATGTCCCAGCACAGATGATGCGGACAGGACAACTAGATGACCACTAGCTCACCTTCCTTTGATGTCTGGCAAAGGCACATAGATCTGTCTGTCAAAGCGTCCTGGTCGCAGCAAAGCTTGGTCCAGAATGTCCACTCTGTTGGTTGCTGCCAACACAACCACGCCAGTCTGTGTGTTGAAACCTGGGCAAAGTTATCCTGGGTTAGTGGGCTAGATTATGTTAATCAACATCATTGCATATTGGGCATTCTCATGCCTGTCTTCCGACGCAGCAGCCGACATGACCCAACCATCGCAATCTGTTAGTCATTATGATGCCCGTAATATGTGGTGAGCTAAGCAGATTAAGTATGCCTACATTTGTTGGATATAATCACAAGACAAATACAAAATACCTCGTCTGAAAACACCTTAAATTACACACATTATGTTCCTAATCAAACCAAAGTGAATGAAACTAAGCACTGACCGACTAGTGTTTGAAGCACCACCTTGACAGCCCATAGATACCACTATATGTACACCAATCTTATGGCACAGACCACATAAGAACATCAATACAGCCAATACATTCACGTTACTATAACCCGTCGTCCCCTTGTGGGATACAATTTTTTGTTATTTGAAGAACCCTCCTGGCTCTTGCCAGGGGCTGCAATATAGCCCAGCCATAAATATGGTCAAATGGCTGAACGCGGTTTCTGGGACCTCTCCACGGATGATACTCATAGTGGCACATTGTGTTATCAGGTGTTTATCGCTTGTGTGATGTCCTGGTGGGGTGAAATGTACTACTACTACAATACATTCGTTTGAAGGGCTAGTGGTTTACATCCACTCTCTACATGCTCTTCCTAATGTGACAATGACCTGATGGGGAAACTGCTACTGTGTGTGTGTTCAGTCAACCCATTCCTGCCCCCTGTGTATTTTCTGGACTGAGGCCACCAGCCCCATGGTATCTTCAGCCAGAGTCATCTATGACCTTCCTCTTTTCAACTGGCCTCCTATAAAATCTGTCAGGTTTCCATGCAGAGGATGTCTTTCAACACTGATCTCACATGTAGGCATTGGCTTGTGCCAGTCTAGACTTTATTGATGTCAGCCCAAGCACATATCTCACTGTTGTAACTGGTGTATCTAGTGAGCATCCCAAGTTAATTCTCATTCCTTGATTTTGAATCCGTTCAAGTGTTGGGACTGTCAATGAAAACCTTAAAAGTGTGGACAGAACTTATCATGACCACGCCATTGTCTCGGCAACCGTCCATTGTTGATGAGGATGCCAAGAATGTTAAGCATGTGACATCACTGTGCAGACAAACACGGTGACATCAAAATGACTTTTCAAAGATATGCTTAACACTCCTGACATCCTTGATAACCATATTAACATGCTACCCCCAACAACAAAAATGGCATGGCTACAGTAATTTCTATCACACTTTTATTAGAGTTTTCATTTCAAGCTCCCTTGCATTATGACCAAGAACTGACCATGACAGAACAATTGTTGTGTGGGCAAGTATGAGAAAGGGAGAGATCACACGATCTTTAAATAACTGCTGAACTACTGACCATGACAGAACAATTGTTGTGTGGGTATGTATGAGAAAGGGAGAGATCACACGATCTTTAAATAACTGCTGAACTACTAACCATGACAGAACAACTGTTGTGTGGGCAAGTATGAGAAAGGGAGAGATCACACGATCTTTAAATAACTGCTGAACTATTGACCATGACAGAACAACTGTTGTGTGGGCAAGTATGAGAAAGGGAGAGATCACACGATCTTTAAATAACTGCTGAACTACTGACCATGACAGAACAATTGTTGTGTGGGTATGTATGAGAAAGGGAGAGATCACACGATTTTTAAATAACTGCTGAACTACTAACCATGACAGAACAACTGTTGTGTGGGCAAGTATGAGAAAGGGAGAGATCACACGATCTTTGAATAACTGCTGAACTACTGACCATGACAGAACAACTGTTGTGTGGGCAAGTATGAGAAAGGGAGAGATCACACGATCTTTAAATAACTGCTGAACTACTGACCATGACAGAACAATTGTTGTGTGGGTATGTATGAGAAAGGGAAAGATCACACGATCTTTAAATAACTGCTGAACTACTAACCATGACAGAACAATTGTTGTGTGGGTAAGTATGAGAAAGGGAGAGATCACACGATCTTTAAATAACTGCTGAACTACTGACCATGACAGAACAACTGTTGTGTGGGCAAGTATGAGAAAGGGAGAGATCACACGATCTTTAAATAACTGCTGAACTACTGACCATGACAGAACAACTGTTGTGTGGGTATGTATGAGAAAGGGAGAGATCACACGATCTTTAAATAACTGCTGAACTACTGACCATGACAGAACAACTGTTGTGTGGGCAAGTATGAGAAAGGGAGAGATCACACGATCTTTAAAAAACTGCTGAACTACTGACCATGACAGAACAATTGTTGTGTGGGTATGTATGAGAAAGGGAAAGATCACACGATCTTTAAATAACTGCTGAACTACTAACCATGACAGAACAACTGTTGTGTGGGCAAGTATGAGAAAGGGAGAGATCACACGATCTTTAAATAACTGCTGAACTACTTACTAACCATGACAGAACAATTGTTGTGTGGGCAAGTATGAGAAAGGGAGAGATCACATGATCTTTAAATAACTGCTGAATTACTAACCATGACAGAACAATTGTTGTGTGAGCAAGTATGAGAAAGGGATAGATCACACGATCTTTAAATAACTGCTGAACTACTGACCATGACAGAACAATTGTTGTGTGGGCAAGTATGAGAAAGGGAGAGATCACACGATCTTTAAATAACTGCTGAACTACTGACCATGACAGAACAATTGTTGTGTGGGTATGTATGAGAAAGGGAGAGATCACACGATCTTTAAATAACTGCTGAACTACTGACCATGACAGAACAACTGTTGTGTGGGCAAGTATGAGAAAGGGAGAGATCACACGATATTAATATAACTGCTGAACTACTAACCATGACAGAACAACTGTTGTGTGGGCAAGTATGAGAAAGGGAGAGATCACATGATCTTTAAATAACTGCTGAACTACTAACTATGACAGAACAATTGTTGTGTGGGCAAGTATGAGAAAGGGAGAGATCACATGATCTTTAAATAACTGCTGAACTACTAACCATGACAGAGCAATTGTTGTGGGGTAAGTGTGAGAAAGGGAGAGATCACACGATCTTTAAATAACTGCTGAACTACTAACCATGACAGAACAATTGTTGTGTGGGCAAGTATAAGAAAGGGAGAGATCACACGATCTTTAAATAACTGCTGAACTACTAACCATGACAGAACAATTGTTGTGTGGGCAAGTATGAGAAAGGGAGAGATCACACGATCTTTAAATAACTGCTGAACTACTGACCATGACAGAACAATTGTTGCGTGGGTATGTATGAGAAAGGGAGAGATCACACGATCTTTAAATAACTGCTGAACTACTAACCATGACAGAACAATTGTTGTGTGGGCAAGTATGAGAAAGGGAGAGATCACATGATCTACTGACCATGACAGAACAATTGTTGTGTGGGCAAGTATGAGAAAAGGAGAGATCACACGATCTTTAAATAACTGCTGAACTACTAACCATGACAGAACAACTGTTGTGTGGGCAAGTATGAGAAAGGGAGAGATCACACGATCTTTAAATAACTGCTGAACTATTGACCATGACAGAACAACTGTTGTGTGGGCAAGTATGAGAAAGGGAGAGATCACACGATCTTTAAATAACTGCTGAACTACTGACCATGACAGAACAATTGTTGTGTGGGTATGTATGAGAAAGGGAGAGATCACACGATTTTTAAATAACTGCTGAACTACTAACCATGACAGAACAACTGTTGTGTGGGCAAGTATGAGAAAGGGAGAGATCACACGATCTTTGAATAACTGCTGAACTACTGACCATGACAGAACAACTTTTGTGTGGGCAAGTATGAGAAAGGGAGAGATCACACGATCTTTAAATAACTGCTGAACTACTGACCATGACAGAACAATTGTTGTGTGGGTATGTATGAGAAAGGGAAAGATCACACGATCTTTAAATAACTGCTGAACTACTAACCATGACAGAACAATTGTTGTGTGGGTAAGTATGAGAAAGGGAGAGATCACACGATCTTTAAATAACTGCTGAACTACTGACCATGACAGAACAACTGTTGTGTGGGCAAGTATGAGAAAGGGAGAGATCACACGATCTTTAAATAACTGCTGAACTACTGACCATGACAGAACAACTGTTGTGTGGGCAAGTATGAGAAAGGGAGAGATCACACGATCTTTAAATAACTGCTGAACTACTGACCATGACAGAACAACTGTTGTGTGGGCAAGTATGAGAAAGGGAGAGATCACACGATCTTTAAAAAACTGCTGAACTACTGACCATGACAGAACAATTGTTGTGTGGGTATGTATGAGAAAGGGAAAGATCACACGATCTTTAAATAACTGCTGAACTACTAACCATGACAGAACAACTGTTGTGTGGGCAAGTATGAGAAAGGGAGAGATCACATGATCTTTAAATAACTGCTGAACTACTAACTATGACAGAACAATTGTTGTGTGGGCAAGTATGAGAAAGGGAGAGATCACATGATCTTTAAATAACTGCTGAACTACTAACCATGACAGAGCAATTGTTGTGTGGGTAAGTATGAGAAAGGGAGAGATCACACGATCTTTAAATAACTGCTGAACTACTAACCATGACAGAACAATTGTTGTGTGGGCAAGTATAAGAAAGGGAGAGATCACACGATCTTTAAATAACTGCTGAACTACTAACCATGACAGAACAATTGTTGTGTGGGCAAGTATGAGAAAGGGAGAGATCACACGATCTTTAAATAACTGCTGAACTACTGACCATGACAGAACAATTGTTGCGTGGGTATGTATGAGAAAGGGAGAGATCACACGATCTTTAAATAACTGCTGAACTACTAACCATGACAGAACAATTGTTGTGTGGGCAAGTATGAGAAAGGGAGAGATCACATGATCTACTGACCATGACAGAACAATTGTTGTGTGGGCAAGTATGAGAAAAGGAGAGATCACACGATCTTTAAATAACTGCTGAACTACAGGAGAGATCACACGATCTTTAAATAACTGCTGAACTACTAACCATCCATCTCCACCAGGAGTTGATTCAGAGTGTTTTCTTGTTCGCTGTTGCCGCCCCAGTTACGGCCACTCCTTTTCCTGCCAACGGCATCAATCTCATCAATAAACAAAATGCATGGAGCCTTCTTTCTGGCCAGGGCAAACATGTCACGTACCTGAGAGATAAGAGTGAGATCACAATCATGATTACCTGCAGCTTTAGAAATAATCAACACTGCCCTTTCTACAAGCTGACTTTGTATGTGGTCAACGCAGTGTGTGTGTACATGTGTGAAGAGAAACTGAGAGAAAGAAAGAAAGAGAGGGGGGAGAGAGAGAGAGAGAGAGAGAGAGAGAGAGAGAGAGAGAGAGAGAGAGAGAGAGAGAGAGAGAGAGAGAGAGAGAGAGAGAGAGAGAGAGAATTAACAAACTTTATTTTCAAAAAGTCACAAACTGGGCATGTAGACCTGTCTTAAATTCCACCCTTCCAACCACTCATCCCTAACACAGCAAATGTGTTTTGTATACAGCAGGTTAAGTTTCTCTTTGTGGCACTGATACATATAGTTTATCACCACATCTTAGTCACAGATATGGAAGGTAGAGGCGTCGAACTACAGTCCTCCAGGACCAGGGTTCATACTGGTCAGACAACACTCCACGGTCACCCTAAAATAAAAAGTTCCTAATCGTGAGAAATAGATTCTGAACTCAGAACTGGGCAAGTAGGGGGGACTTTGCCCACATACACAGCATGGACATTTCCTTTGAAGTCAGAGTTCATCTGTCTAACAGGAAGGAGCCAACAGTCCGGAGAGAAATAAGCCAGATCGGTATAAAACATTTAAGTCCTGGAACAATGCCAGAAGTGGAAGAATAAACAATATAACTTTCTGCAGGAGTCGCTGAATGTGAAGAAGACAAAGCCACAGACAACAGATGTTTGTGAATAAGTCTGGCATATCTAAAAGTTGTCACTTCAAGCTCACCCTGGATGGCCCGACACCGACAAACATCTCCAGAAACTCCGACCCAGACACAGTGATGAAGGGGACATTAGCCTCTCCTGCGGTGGCCTTGGCCAGCAAGGTTTTCCCTGTGCCTGGAGGTCCAGTCAGCATGGCACCTGACAAGGAGAAATCAATCTTAAATTACGCAACAAATACAGGCACCAGTATAAGTTCTGACAATAATAGCTGCCGTTTAGTATCAGACATAAAGGCATCTCAAGTTCTACATCTGTGGGTACAAGCGGTAGAGGTGCAGATGGTACTGTGTGCAAATGTTCATACAATGCAGTGACATAATCATCAGCATCGTGTGCCATGCTAAATTAATGTGTGGTCGCAGTTTAAGAATATTCTTCTAGAAGGAAAACTGTTCTTTTCTTTTTCTGCCTTTCATCTCCCAATGAAGAACATACCTCCTTTAAATCGTAGTAGAAGCCGACCTAGGCATCTTCTACCTATCTGCAATTTACCACAGAAGATGTCCTTAGACACAATACCACCCTCCGAGTGTGTCATAGCCATTACATAGGATTTATCTGTTCCTCTGAAGAGAAAATTAGTTTAAAACAGATCTGTAGAGAACAATGCAAGACGGAAGTCATAAGGCTGGGGGTGATGTGACATCTATGATGACAGAATGCAGCATCAGCAACAGACTGACCTGGCACAAGATGCCAGATTTAACAAACCTTCCCTCTCTCACTGGAACCACTTATATGGTCTATTTAAATAATAAATAAAGGATGTCTTGCAAGATAAAAATAAAAATAACAACCAAGACACTAAAGGCCTGGGTAGATTGATACAAAAGATGTGATAAAGTATGAAAGAAGACACAGACAGTATGGTTGCATGATATGTGTGTGTACATAAGCATACAAGCACATCTGAGACATGAAACATGGAGAACAGAGTAGGGGCTGACACCTGCTTATATTTTCTGTTGTTTTCTCCCAAGAAGACAATAATCTGCTAATTATTCTTTGTCTTCTGCATGTTCAGTTGTGGTTGAGGGCTAGCCTGAGATATCTGCACCCTTGGGCCCAAAGCGTACTATTTTAGCCAACCCTAATCAGTTTCACAGCTCAGGCTAAGGGACCCACACAGGAATTTCTGCAGGTGAACAAGCCTAATAACTGTAACGACAAAAATTGAACTTATGAGAAGATTACTTGAATCAGAAAAAGACAACTAACACTGCGATCACATTGTGAGAAGGGAAACAATGGAGCACATCATGACAGTGGGGAAAGTGGGGGGGGGGGGGGGGGAAGGGGGGTTGTCAATGGAAGACCAAGACTACAACAGAAAGATGACACATAATTATTCACTGTTTAACAAACATCATTGTAGCCAGATTCAAACCTTTAGGTATCTTTGCGCCAAGGTCCAGATATTGTTGTGGATTTTTCAGGAAGTTGACAAACTCCATGATCTCTAACTTGGCTTCCTCACAACCAGCAACATCACTGAAACAGGTGGAACAAACAGTTTAACAACAAGGGCTGGCTGCAGTCCTAACTCAGGAGGGGGGAGAATCTCTTGCTACAGGTGAAGACAAATTAAAAGGGGAAAAGTAATTTTAACAAGTCTATCCCTACTGGTTGACCTTTCTCCTGGGGTACTAGCCTAGCGTGCGTTAAGTACTGAATACCTGACACCTACGGAGGGAACATTACCAGCCTACAATGTAGCTCTGCAGCTCAGTTAGTGAAATGTTTTCAACAATTTCAAGATCCTCGATTACTATGGTGTGATTTCAGCCACGGCTCATTTATCGTTCTTGCAGCTTTCCGATAGTCATAAGAGAGTCCGCCATGGAAAGGTCTGGGGTCACACCATCTAATATTCCCAAAGTGGGTGTGCTGGTTTAAAAAATTGGCACTTGGTGGGTGATGTGATCAACATCACACAGGCCACTTTTATTTCCCAGGTCTCTATCTGGTACTAATTTGAGGCAGGGTCGATCATGGGTGTACTGGAGAAAACCTGTATCATGAAGGTGGCACAGAAATGCATTTATTAAATTTATTGCAGCCTATGCTCAACTCCCGCCTGCACCAAGATTACTGCAAGACCTTTTCGAGGCCCAAACTAAATGCTGATACAACGTACTTGAGAGTAAACTCTTTCAACCGATGTGGGTTTATCCACAGTAATCTGATGTGGTTTCCTCACTGCACAAAAAAAAAAAGCTTGAATGTGCTAACTAGTATCAGTACAGCAGAACACAACACAGTAGGTAAGGGGCTGAGTGATCTTGAGGTTGAAGGTCCCAGGTTCAGGCCCCTATGAAGGCTGGGATTTTATCATGTGGACTTCTAGTAATTGCCCCTGGTCTCTGGGTAGTCAGATGGGGCGGGACGCCTGTGTGTATTGCTGCGCACGGAAAGTCCCTTGGCAGTTGAAAATCAAAAGGAGTAGCCTTATGGCGCTGCCCTGGCGAAATTTGGAGTTAACAATCTACCCAAAAGTATTTCCGGATCCTCGCCGATGCTACAGAGTTCGAGCACTGTGCTGAGATTCTTCGTACTCAGGACTGAGTTAAAAGTAGAATGGGGCACTTATGGGTTACCACCCTTGTGCCATGATGTTGCTCTGTTGTTTAAACAGAAAACAACACAGTGAAACATGAATCACTTCAAATAATTATGCGTGGCACAGTAAGTGTTTCACAATTCTCTAACAACCAGATTTAATTTCCATTGCAGGCGGTTTAGGAAAGAAAATCACGGCTTTCTGAAGTAGTACGAGTTATTTCACAGAAGAGGCTGGGGCCTCACAACATAATACTGCAAAATACAGTGGGGGATAACCACTCTAGAGAACCTCCGCTGCAGCCACCCCCTACAACAGACATAGTGCATTAACAAACGAAACATAAAACAAGGACATCTGTACCTGAACTTGACTCCGATATCTTTCTCCAAGACTTGAGCAGTTGTCTGAGAGAAGCCAAACATGCCCCCTGGACCACCGCCCCTGCCGATCCCTGGTTTACCTAGAGGCTGCACAAAACAGACCAGCCATGGAATAGATGCTCTGACTTCTCATCAATGTCATTATAGGGGCATATGCATCCTAATAATCATCCTCTTTTTTTTTAATCATTTGACTAATAGTTCTGCATCTTGTTACAGAAACAAAATGATGTGCAACCTACTGTGATTACTGATTTACAGAGGGAACATGTATCATAGCTCAAGTGTCCAGTAAGCAAAATACTAGCCAAGAGAGGCAAGTGTTTTCTTTCAGAGATAGTTCAGTCAGGTGATTTTTGTGTATTCTTGTTTGTATCAGTGGTATTGTATATTCATGTAATGTGCTGATGACGGTCTCTAGCCACAATGTTAACTTGTCATTTGTGTCTGTGATAATGTGGAGCTGAATGGTTCTGCCTTTTGTTTGGTTTGATGTCTTTTCAGGTTATAATAGAGGCTGTGGAAGACAGTATATGAGCAACATGCAACTGGACAACAAGCAATAACGTAACATCAAGCTCCCAAAATCTGCGTAATGAGAAGAGTTGAATGGGAGTAGACATGAGGCAGACCAAGAAGACAGTGGAGAGATTACATACAGGCAGAACTACAAACACTTGGGGACACCCACGGAAAGAGAAAGACAACCATAGTGATGAGCGGAGGTTTGTGAAATCTGCAGCAATAAAGCTGAAGGGTTCAAATACTGTACAAGAAGAACATCTAGGATGAATGGAGAGTCATAACAACCAATGCCTGCTCCAAACAAGGCTCAAACATAAGAAGAAAGATAATAATTGTAATTTTCCATATATATGTAATACATCTTATGCAGTAGTTCAGTTCCTATAATTCTTGCCTGCCTGTGTGGTCTTCATAGGTTCAAACCCCAGCTGAGGCAGATTTTTAAATACTCGGGCTTGTAGGCTAAGATATGTAATATGGCAGATGAAAAAAGATGTGGATGACAAAGAAACCTGGGGAAGGAAAGCAGACAAGGAAATAAAGGAATGACAAATTATATGGGATACCATAGGCAGAAAACAGACAAGCAGCAGGCCAGTGGCAATAGAGATCACTCCTGAATGAATTTTATATCAGCAACAACATGAAGACAATACAGAGAAATCAATGAAGAGATGACCCAGAATGTGGACAGCATAAACTAATTAGCAGAAATAAAGTCAAGGTTACTTTCCACACATAAACCCTTTACGATGCTTGACTCAAGTTTGTGTGACCAATCAGCATTCATTCAGTAACGTGGTGAATATCACGTCCGCCACTTTTACTTCCCAGGACTTTACCTGGTACCCCTTTTAAGCTGGGTCAACCTGCGAGCCAAGGTCATTTTGTGGGGAAAAATCTGACTGCAAATTCTTTATCTTCTTTTTCACGTTCACCAGCTGTAAACTCCCGCAGAAAGTTCTGGTTGTTTATCTACCTCTGGACTTTAGTCTTGTTCCAAAACTGATTGTTGTGCACATATCCGTTTTACAGACCTGATTTATTTGTATGCAGATCATTGGTTTCCTGCCTGTCTGGCAGATGCACTGAGGCTTCGAAAGAAGTCCCCAATTAATCGACTGTTACAAAATGCTTGTCGAGGAGGCAGTGGGTCATTCTTATTCACTCCATAACAGGGCCCTGGAACTCACATAGGGATGATGACAGATTTAAACTCAAGACCTCCATACCAATAGGACAGCATCTAGCTGATAAAATAATGACTTGTCTTACATTGAACACAAGACTGGGACAATCAATAAATATAAAAGATAAGCTAACACTTACCCCTCGTCGAAGGAACCAAATCATGAAACCTAGAGGTATCAGCCAGCTCAGAGCATTGAGAATGATACTGCCCCTGAAAATGACAGCAAGAGATTTTATGCTTGACCTTGGTCAAAAACAAATGTCTTCACCAGCTTACCCAGCCTATTACAAATGTTGAATTAAATATTATGATCCTGTTCTAGCATAGAGTGGTATACAAATAAATGAAGCATTCTACCTTGAGAAAGACCATAAACACTGTAAACTCGTTAAAAATAATTAGACGCTGTTAGTCAATATTTGTGGACACGCTGAAAACTTGGTGACAAATGGCAAGACTGGTGAAGGAAAAAACAGTAAGGGGAAGAAAAATAAACTGTCTAGTAACTGACCAATCTCTTTCTTACTAACCAATAAACTGTCTAGTAACTGACCAATCTCTTTCTAACTAACCAATAAACTGTCTAATAACTTACCAATCTCTTTCTAACTCACCAATTAACTATCTAGTAACTGACCAATCTCTTTCTAACTAACCAATTAACTGTCTAGTAACTCTCCAGTCTCTTTCTAACTAACCAATAAACTGTCTAGTAACTCTCCAGTCTCTTTCTAACTAACCAATAAACTGTCTAGTAACTGACCAATCTCTTTCTAACTAACCAATAAACTGTCTAGTAACTGACCAATAAACTGTCTAGTAACTCTCCAGTCTCTTTCTAACTAACCAATAAACTGTCTAGTAACTGACCAGTCTCTTTCTAACTGACCAATAAACTGTCTAGTAACTGACCAGTCTCTTTCTAACTAACCAATAAACTGTCTAGTAACTGACCAGTCTCTTTCTAACTGACCAATAAACTGTCTAGTAAGTGACCAATCTCTTTCTAACTAACCAATACACTGTCTAGTAACTGACCAGTCTCTTTCTAACTGACCAATAAACTGTCTAGTAACTGACCAGTCTCTTTCTAACTGACCAATAAACTGTCTAGTAACTGACGAGTCTCTTTCTAACTAACCAATAAACTGTCTAGTAAGTGACCAATCTCTTTCTAAATGACCAATAAACTGTCTAGTAACTGACCAGTCTCTTTCTAACTGACCAATAAACTGTCTAGTAAGTGACCAATCTCTTTCTAACTAACCAATAAACTGTCTAGTAACTGACCAGTCTCTTTCTTTCTTGTAAACAACTGTAATAAAGTTGGAAGGGTCAATGTTCATCTCTGACTGTGCCTTCTCCAAGTTACGTTCAAATGTTTCCACACTTCCAATTGTGAACCATATAGTGTGCTGAAGAAATAAATACAATATCAAAACTGTTATATAGGCATGGAACAGTCCTGTCTCTAAACCTCCCTTATTTTTTATCAGTGTCGTCACCACCACACTGAGGTACACATGTCAGTGTGCTGGCTTGGCAAAAATGTCTATCTGATGATACATGTCCTATGGCACAAAAACAAAGTCCTGAATGTCCAGCAGAAAAAAGTCTTACTAATTGGCAGAAAGATTCACATGCCCAAATGTGGGACCGAAAAGGGGGAGCCATGCCAGATGCAATCTCTGCCATACTGTCTTGTTAAGTTTCCAGATGATACAATGTTAAAGGTGCCAAATGTGGGACCGAAAAGGGGGAGCCATGCCAGATGCAATCTCTGCCATACTGTCTTGTTAAGTTTCCAGATGATACAATGTTAAAGGTGCCAAATGTGGGACTGAAAAGGGGGAGCCATGCCAGATGCAATCTCTGCCATACTGTCTTGTTAAGTTTCCAGATGATACAATGTTAAAGGTGCCAAATGTGGGACCGAAAAGGGGGAGCCATGCCAGATGCAATCTCTGCCATACTGTCTTGTTAAGTTTCCAGATGATACAATGTTAAAGGTGCCAAATGTGGGACCGAAAAGGGGGAGCCATGCAATCTCTGCCATACTGTCTTGTTAAGTTTCCAGATGATACAATGTTAAAGGTGTCAAATGTGGGACCGAAAAGGGGGAGCCATGCAATCTCTGCCATACTGTCTTGTTAAGTTTCCAGATGATACAATGTTAAAGGTGTCAAATGTGGGACCGAAAAGGGGAGCCTCATGTGCAGGATGTATTGGGTGAGCCCAGGACTAGAGCATCATATGTTGGCTTTGCATTTATGGAAGCCTCCTTGGATGGTGGGGAATGCCCATGGCTTCTTTGAGGGCTGACCTGTCTACACGTGGATGCTCTGTAAAGGGGTCTCCAGGAGCAACATCTGTAGAGAAGGGGACAAAGAGAACAGCATACAAAAAAGGCCACACGTCCCTGTCCCAGGAAACTATCCAGGATGTTAACTCGGTCAACAAATGCTCGATGAAGTGGGATGTGTCGGCCAAAAGGCCCAAAAATCACAGCTCTGCTGTAAACAGGCACAATGCAGAATGAAAGGAAGATAAATATTTGTGGGGAAAAAAATGATGTACACACCGATCCTGTTGGGAGATATGTATGGAAGAACTCCTTCATGGTGATCTCCTTGTACCGGCTAGCATAAAACATGTACAACAGTGCAGCACCTCCCAGAGCAGCAAAGAAGAGCATCTGTTTGTCTGGAGCTCCTCCTGACCCTGACGTCTTACCACCTTTCCCATCAGAGCTGTCAAAACAGAAATAGTCACTCTAGTGATGTCAGTGAAAGGGAACAACACAAAATGATAGCAAAATATAGTCCCTGAGGTTCCAAGGCTTCTTTATGGAGGAAACAAAGAGTAGATACCCCCCCCCCTCTCCCTAAAGCATGTAGTAATAGGTCAGAGTGCATCTGCCTGAGAGGCCAGGACTTTACTGCCAGTGACTGCTAAGAATATCAAGAGAAAAAACCTCTGATCGGAGGAACAGCTTGCAAGGAGACTTTCACCATCCTTGTACGCTGTTTTATGTCTAGGGCTCACATCTAGTCCTCCACTGCGTTCTCCCCTGGGGAAACATTTCATAATCATGGATGGAATCTAGTCCCGCTACTCTGTCTTTTCTCTCAACATCGTTCATCTAACTCCTGGACATTCCTGTTCCCTCAATCCAATTGTTTCCAGCGGAAACTGTACAGCAAGAAAATAGATATATGACTTAAACAAATCACATAATTATACAGGGATAAGGCAATCATATAAATACAAGATAAACCAAATTTAAATTATTTAAGGAACAAAACAACAACACAAATCAAACCAACACAGCAGAAAACAGTGGGTGTGGAACTGGACCATAATAAACATGGCCATAAATGTGGATGTTTGCATTGGCAATGGAAAAATTAACAATCTGAAAGTGGCCAAAAGAGCAATTGAGAATAATAAAGAGGTGAAGGGAAAACAGTATTAGTGTTCTGATGATTCAAACTGTGAAATCAAAGGCATCACTGTCTACTACATTTAAACTAACAGAAAGCAGTGGATCCATTAAGGAAATAACAAGATATTCACAAGCAGAATTTAGCTTACTTATTGTATTCATAATCCCCAATTTTAACTTTGATCTTCATCCACTTGTCATCTGAGGAGGAATTCTTTGGAGACTTCTGGTCTGAAATAAAGAAAATAACATGTTCACTCTCCACAGCAGCAGATACAGAAATAAGTATTCGGCACTAAAGATTCAATAATGATGAAAGCCACTGAGCCTCCTGAGACATGCTTGTATTCTGCAAACCACTGGTAGTGAAAATTCGACAGTTACACTCATGATTTATTTTTCCTAAACATGACATAAAGATATCCCTTCTAAGAGAAGCTAGAAATGCCAGATCTCTTTCAAAACATCATGAGCTGAGGACTATTGTAAACATCATCTCCTGATATAACATGAGCTGGGGACTATTGTAAACATCATTCCCTGATATAACATGAGCTGAGGACTACTGTAAACATCATTCCCTGATATAACATGAGCTGGGGACTATTGTAAACATCATTCCCTGATAGAACATGAGCTGAGGACTACTGTAAACATCATCTCCTGATATAACATGAGCTGGGGACTTTTGTAAACATCATTCCCTGATATAACATGAGCTGAGGACTACTGTAAACATCATTCCCTGATATAACATGAGCTGAGGACTACTGTAAACATCATTCCCTGATATAACATGAGCTGAGGACTACTGTAAACATCATTCCCTGATATAACATGAGCTGGAGACTACTGTAAACATCATTTCCTGATATAACATGAGGTGGAGACTATTGTAAACATCATTCCCTGATATAACATGAGCTGGAGACTATTGTAAACATCATTCCCTGATATAACATGAGCTGGGGACTATTGTAAACATCATCTCCTGATATAACATGAGCTGGGGACTATTGTAAACATCATTCCCTGATATGAGCTGGAGACTATTGTAAACATCATTCCCTGATATAACATGAGCTGGAGACTATTGTAAACATCATTCCCTGATATAACACGAGCTGGAGACTATTGTAAACATCATTCCCTGATATAACATGAGCTGGGGACTACTGTAAACATCATTCCCTGAAATAACATGAGCTGGAGACTACTGTAAACATCATTCCCTGATATAACATGAGCTGGAGACTATTGTAAACATCATTCCCTGATATAACATGAGCTGGGGACTTTTGTAAACATCATTCCCTGATATAACATGAGCTGGAGACTATTGTAAACATCATTCCCTGATATAACATGAGCTGGGGACTATTGTAAACATCATCTCCTGATATAACATGAGCTGGGGACTTTTGTAAACATCATTCCCTGATATAACATGAGCTGGGGACTTTTGTAAACATCATTCCCTGATATAACATGAGCTGGGGACTTTTGTAAACATCATCTCCTGATATAACATGAGCTGGGGACTTTTGTAAACATCATCTCCTGATATAACATGAGCTGGGGACTATTGTAAACATCATTCCATGATATAACATGAGCTGGAGACTATTGTAAACATCATTCCCTGATATAACATGAGCTGGGGACTATTGTAAACATCATTCCCTGATATAACATGAGCTGAGGACTATTGTAAACATCATTCCCTGATATAACATGAGCTGAGGACTACTGTAAACATCATCTCCTGATATAACATGAGCTGGAGACTATTGTAAACATCATTCCCTGATATAACATGAGCTGAGGACTATTGTAAACATCATCTCCTGATATAACATGAGCTGAGGACTATTGTAAACATCATTCCCTGATATAACATGAGCTGGGGACTTTTGTAAACATCATTCCCCGATATAACATGAGCTGGAGACTACTGTAAACAATATATCCCTGATATAACATGAGCTGGGGACTATTGTAAACATCATTCCCTGATATAACATGAGCTGGGGACTTTTGTAAACATCATCTCCTGATATAACATGAGCTGAGGACTATTGTAAACATCATTCCCTGATATAACATGAGCTGGGGACTATTGTAAACATCATTCCCTGATATAACACGAGCTGAGGACTATTGTAAACATCATTCCCTGATATAACATGAGCTGGGGACTACTGTAAACATCATTCCCTGATATAACATGAGCTGGGGACTATTGTAAACATCATTCCCTGATATAACATGAGCTGAGGACTACTGTAAACATCATTCCCTGATATAACATGAGCTGGAGACTATTGTAAACATCATTCCCTGATATAACATGAGCTGAGGACTACTGTAAACATCATTCCCTGATATAACATGAGCTGGCGACTATTGTAAACATCATTCCCTGATATAACATGAGCTGAGGACTATTGTAAACATCATTCCCTGATATAACATGAGCTGGCGACTTTTGTAAACATCATTCCCTGATATAACATGAGCTGGCGACTTTTGTAAACATCATTCCCTGATATAACATGAGCTGGAGACTACTGTAAACATCATTCCCTGATATAACATGAGCTGGAGACTACTGTAAACATCATTCCCTGATATAACATGAGCTGGAGACTACTGTAAACATCATTCCCTGATATAACATGAGCTGGGGACTATTGTAAACATCATTCCCTGATATAACATGAGCTGAGGACTACTGTAAACATCATTCCCTGATATAATATGAGCTGGAGACTATTGTAAACATCATTCCCTGATATAACATGAGCTGGCAACTTTTGTAAACATCATTCCCTGATATAACACGAGCTGGGGACTATTGTAAACATCATTCCCTCATACATCATGAGATAAAGGATTACCACTAATATTATTATTTTCGTTACTGTCCCTAGGAAAGCAAACACAGGATGTCTGTTGGTGTGGAAGTAAGGATTAAATGTGTATTAACCCATGCTGTATGTCTGTACCTGGAGGTACCAACATGTGCTAAGTGCTGTGTCAGTATTTGTCAACACACATCTTTAGCACCCTACCAATAAAGCAATACATAAGAACTTATTCTTGGTATGGGTTCTGGTGTTCCATTGAAGAGATTAGGGGAGGGAGGATTTTTTTTATAAAAAAAAAGGGGGGGGGGTGGGGTGGAGAAGTCCACTGCCTTATTTAAAAATGCATGTCATAATAGTGACTAATTACAACTTTTCTGGTGACAACCATTCTACAAGTGAAATCCTAGGCTTTCCCATCTCAACTCTGGCATTCAGCTATACTTCAGCCAAGAAGAAATCAATGTCTTTTGATTACAGCACTGAAACCACACGTCTGTTACAGATTGTATTAAAAATACAGATCACTGCTGCCTATTCATAATTAGCAGTTACAAATTAACAAAATGACACTGATTATTTAATGTTAAGATAGTTGAATAAACATAAACAAAATGGCTGAACGTAGCTAACCTTTTGATTGAGATGGTGGATCAGGCTTGGATGGTTTATCAGAATATAACCTGTGCTGATATTGCAAACATGTCAGATGCCTCAGGAGGTGATCTGATCTAGCCAGACTTGACAATGATGTTGCTGTGTACCATCTATGTGATAACTGTCAAATATATCCAATGAGTAAAACTGTAGCAACTCTTACAAACTAAATAAAATAATCCCAAGATAGCAAAGACATTTGTGTGGATATAGACAGTACTACCGACTACTGTCATGTGTGGATATAGACAGTACTACCGACTACTGTCATGTGTGGATATAGACAGTACTACCGACTACTGTCATGTGTGGATATAGACAGTACTACCGACTACTGTCATGTGTGGATATAGACAGTACTACTGACTACTGTCATGTGTGGATATAGACAGTACTACCAACTACTGTCATGTGTGGATATAGACAGTACTACCGACTACTGTCATGTGTGGATATAGACAGTACTACCGACTACTGTCATGCCAGTCTAAAACAAACAAAAAGTAACCTGAGCCAACAAGTGCAGGTTCATTCTTGTTGTTGTGGAAGTAAAGACAATGGCACACAAGAGCAATTTTATGAGCAGTCCATTAATATGATGGCAGCGCCCCCTGGCTTAGGTGTTGCAAGTCTGACTCGTAATTCCAACGCACCGAGATCGAAACCTACTGCTGGCTGTGTGGATTTTTATCATGGTATGGGGCGTCACTTAGTGCTGACAGGTCTGTAAAAATATGGGGTGCTCTTCCCATATGCCCAATGCGCCTAAAGGCGTGGAAAGAGATCTTTACTTTTTACCATTAATATGGATCAATTTATCACCAATTTCAGAACTATGACTGTGACTGTACCATGAAGCACATACATGTTTGCATGCACATCTGTTTATTTTTTTTTTCATTTCCTCTTTTACCACTTCAGGTGTCGAGCAAGATACAAGGTTCTGCTTCTTGCTTTTATGGCCACCTCGACCATAGACACAATGTGCTGCTGTAGATCTTCTCTGATGTTATCTATCCATCGTGTTCTTGGTCTACCACGTCCTTCTCTTTTCGTGTATGGCTTACATGATGTGACACCACAAGACATTCCCTCTAAGTGTGCAGACCATTTGATTTGCCTCTTGTGTGTGTGTGTGTGTGTGTGTGATTAGGGTCCTGTTCCAGAACTTGAGTTCTGCATGTGTATCTATTTTACAAATTTGGCTCATTTATGTGCAGACTGTTGGTTTCTCACCTCTCAGGCAGATGCACTACAACTTGAAAGGAAACATCTCTAATTAGTCATCTTTTACAATATGCTACTTATGAGGGCAGTGGGTCTTTCTATTCTTTCCACCCCCTGACACCCAAAATCGGGTCTCAGAACCCACAAAGGCAGGCATGTCAATAATCATGTACTTATCAAAACCAATACAAAGTAGCAAATAAATCAATAATCATGTACTTATCAAAACCAATACAAAGTAGCAAATAAATCAATAATCATGTACTTATCAAAACCAATACAAAGTAGCAAATAAATCAATAATCATGTACTTATCAAAACCAATACAAAGTAGCAAATAAATCAATAATCATGTACTTATCAAAACCAATACAAAGTAGCAAATAAAATATTACATATTATAAAGCATTTACACAAAAATAATGCTTTGTTGGTTTCATCAGAATGTGTCTATGGCGGTTTCCCTCAATAAAATGTGCATAGATCTCCACTCACAACTGAGGTACAGGCTCAATCAAGGTACCGTTGATTGGACATCTTGGCTCTCCTCCGAACTTCTACCCCATATTATGGCGGCCAAGCGAACAGCCTAACAGGGCCTCAGTCATGTGTAAAATGCGGACTTTCTGCCAAGGAATAAATTGCGGCAAAACTAGGATCGGCTGGGGATACTTTCTGCGGTGAGTTTAACCGCGTTTTGCGCATGCCGAAAAGTGTGAGGACAACAACGACGCTAATCTGCGTCGGAGCGCGGTCTCCTGTTATCAACTGTAATGTTGCATGTCTTGAAATTGTCAATGGTGGCTATTATCGTCTGCAGAAACGCTTGAAATTGTCAATGGTCTCTATTATCGTCTGGTACTATCATCTGCAGTGTTGCGTCTCTTGAAATTGTCAAGTAATCCTAGTTTTGCCACGATTTGTTCCTTGGCAGAAAGGCCGCATTTTACACACGACTGAGGCCCTGTTAGGCTATTTTCTTGGCTGCCATAATATAATATCGGGTAGAAGTTCGGAGGAGAGCCGACATTTTATTTCTATCCAGCTGTGGCTGTGATGGTTTAAGTAAGTGAGAACTCAACATATAAAATTTACCTAGTCGACCCCAGTAGCCACCAGTGTTAGAAAAACAAGGCAGTGTTTTAAAAAAAACATGAACAATCACACAATTTCGCTCTCAGTGATTTGTAGACACACACTGACAGACTCAAACTCAAAAAAACCTGAGGTAGTAACTAACTTCGCGGTCACGGCTACGAATCAAGTATTGCATAGACAAATGTTTCTTTTAGACTATCAGATACGTCATTTTAGTAAGTTTAAAACCCTATTACTTGATCACATCCACATCATTAAATATGCTGAAACTGCACCAAAATCCTTGAAAGAATTACTAGTTACATAATTACAAAAACAAATGACCCCTAACCACAGCAAGTGAAATGACGACATTTTCCCACACACAAGAAAATGTGCAAACATCAACAATGGATATAGGGGCAAATTAAAACACATACCGTTTGACATAAGCAACCCTTTGACAGCGACGCCTGTAACAGGCGACCCTGCTTTAAAATCGAAATAGACCGATACGCCATCGTGACAAAACAAGAGCTGAACAGAGCAGATTTAACTGACGGCGGCCCCGCAGAGTTGCCGTTTATGATGGCCGTTCGTTTCTGCTCTCTCTGCTGCAAGATTACTGTCCCTCGCCTACTTTCTGTACGCAGGGCTGGCTATTCTCCATACACTTAAAGTGTGTCTCTCCCCCCCCCCCCCACCCCCCCCGGGGGATGGGGTGAGAGAGTCGATGCTGGACAGTTTGACGTCATGGAATAGAGGATCATTTCTGTCAGAATTTGTTTAAAGTACACAAGACAGAAGGTTGTGATATGACTGCCAACGCTCCAGTGCGTGGACGGAATGCTTCGCGTCAAAATGGGCGCTAGGCACGGCCACTGTTTTGAGTCTAAGCAAAAATTTTTGCTTATGCCAGACGGTTGCCGTTGCATTTTTGCTACTTTTGTAGACTGGGAGGATATAGTTTCGTTGCCCAGTTTCTGAGCTGAGTGCATGGCGTGATGCTGTGAGCTGCGGATTTCATTTGGAATGTTTTTCGACTGTGACTGGTGGTGTGAATTGTAGATTCAGAAAATGGCGCGATGCCGGTGTTCGCAATATTGGTGGGGCCATTCATCATCATTAGGTGCCTTGCCGACTGGCGTGGGCGATCATGTCTCTCCATAATCTGCAGTCTCCTGCAGCATGTATCAGTTTGTGCGCCGACACACCTCCATGCCATGCAACAAGACTGTCAAGCATCTTCTCTCGTTGTCTTCCTCTATCCCTCCTTCCACAGATCTTTCCAGTGGTCACAACATGTTCTATTTTCCCTCTTCTCATAACATGTCCGAAAAATGATGACTGTCTCCTTCTGATGTCTGTGATGTTGTCTTCGGGCTCCCGCCTCTTGGTTGCTCTTTTTGGCTGTCCAAGGTATTTTGAGCATTCTTCTGTAAAACCACATCTCTGAGGCCTCTAGAAATTGTTTGGCCTGCCTACCAATTGTCAAGGGTGGGGCCATTGTGTGATTAAAATTGATCGCGTGTGCAACTGCTGATCTTTTGATGACTTCTGCTACTATCAATCATGAACTACATTTCTAACGTCGGACTGTTTGTGCTAGCACTTCAGATGGCTACAGTATCCTTTTAATGCGTGTGTATGCCAGATTTGATGCGACAGCAGTCTGTCAATCTTTCCACAAGGGACTGTGATAAACATTCTGTGTATTTTTCGTTGGCAAAGGAGCGGAGCAACTATCGGGTGACCTGTTTGCTATGAAGCTAAAACTAAGATTACCAGGACTGTAAGTAGAACTTGAAATCTTCTTCTTCTTCAGCATTCTTGAGGTTCATTGCTGCAGATATCACCCGCATCCACTCATCTCTCTGGTTGGCCTTCTCTTTCAAATTAGTAACAGTAAGTGTTTAGAACTTGAAATGTCTTTAATTTTTATTTCATAATTTACAGAATGCGTCTGTTCTGAATGTCAGAATATAATAAAACTGAATAGTGTTTATTATATTGCAAGAAATATGAACTGAACTAAAAACGATCCCCCTTCATGGATACATGACCCGCTGCACACTAAAACTGCATGACAATAGAAAACATAATGGGATTAGAAAGCTCTAGAGAACTACAGGGAATGATCAGTAAAAAAAAAAAAGATGTGTATATGAGGTGTTCCTATACTTTAAGACAGAATAATGCTATACAAGGTAACTTTACATATTTCCAAAGATAGATTACACATATTTATTTTTAAAAATCCAATGGAATATATTAAATTTAGTCTATTCGCCTGCAATGTTACCGTTAATGCATAAGCTATGAAATTTTAAATAACTAAAAGTAACTGACAAGAATAACTATCTGTATGGTAAATAAACACAAATTTATGTAACCTATGGTGCCATTGCAATGGTTAGAAATGAATTCTGTCCATATTACATAGTTGTGGATTTCAAACTGTACGATAGACATGGCCAATAATACACCTTTTTTTTGGGGGGGGGGGGGGGGGGGGGGGGGGGGGGGGGGGGGTGCCTAGTTGACCATGTTCTTAGTGTACTTGTATCCATGGCGAGACGCAGACGCCGTCTGGAGGTGATAGGTTCAATTCCTGGCACGGTAACTATAGCTTTCGATTTTTATGTTGTCTAGTGAGTTCTTCTATCTTTCTACTTCTTTCTATTAGTGCCGATCAATACACTTTCTGTTACTTGATTAATTCTGTATGGTAAAAAGGGACGGATGTGTGTGTGTGTGTGGGGGGGGGGATGTCAATGTTATTAGATAGTTAGTTAGATAGTTAGTTAGTTAGTTAGTTAGCTAGTTAGTTAGTTAGTTAGGTTAGTTAGTTAGTTAGTTAGTTAGATAGTTAGATAGTTAGATAGTTAGTTAGATAGTTAGATAGTTAGATAGTTAGAATAGTTAGGATGATAGTTAGTTAGTTAGTTAAGTAGTTAGTTAGTTAGTTAGTTAGTTTAGTTAGTTAGATAGTTAGAGCTAGTTAGATAGTTATATAGTTAGATAGTAGATCGTTAGATAGTTAGATAGTTAGATAGATAGTTAGTTAGTTAGTTAGTAGTTAGTTAGATAGTTAGTTAGATAGATAGTTAGCATAGTTAGATAGTTAGATAGTTAGATAGTTAAGATAGTTAGTTCAGTTAGTTAGTTAGATAGTTAGTTAGTTAGATAGTTAGTTAGATAGTTAGATAGTTAGATAGTTAGATAGTTAGATAGTTAGATAGTTAGATAGTTAGATAGTTAGTTAGTTAGTTAGTTAGATAGTTAGTTAGTTAGATAGTTAGTTAGATAGTTAGTTAGATAGTTAGTTAGTTAGATAGTTAGTTAGTTAGCTAGTTAGTTAGTTAGATAGATAGTTAGTTAGTTAGATAGTTAGTTAGTTAGATAGTTAGTTAGTCAACAGATTATCCTCATTGCACATCGAACCATTCAATCCATAAGTGCTCGGATCCCCTCATTATTAAACCCCGGAGCGTGTAGCGTCTGACGACACCAGTTCTGTGTTAGTTTCTTTTTTGGCTTCCTGCATAGTGCACTTGTCTGGCCACACCCCTTTCAACATGTTCATGCAGTCTGGTCATTATTGCAAATTCAGTCATCACTTGGTTCTCGCAAACGTCTTACTTCTCGTAGAGCATGCAAAGTCTATGGCTCGTCTGCCCCCCCCCCCCTCCCTTCCGCGCCCATTTCACAGTAGCTTTACCCGCAGGCCGATCAGCTTGCTAATTCCTTTGCAACACTGCATGCCCCGGCACAAATATGAAACTGAGATGTGTCAAACTCGACCGCTTTAGAGACTCCAGCCACTGTCTTCGGACCCAGCCCTTCTCTATCTTCCTGAGCATACTCATAGAGTCATTAAAAAAGCATGCGCGGGAAAAGTTGGGGAGGGGGAATGTTATTAGAAAGAATTAACTCATGAGGTTGATTACAACTAGCAATATTGAGGACAAGAGAGCAAGGAGAAGGCATAGAGATAACTATATGGATGGCGTACCCATTTAGATGGAGGCTAGACCAGAACACAAACCTGATATGTGATTCTGGTGATCGTGTGAAATGGTGAAACATGACAATCTATGCTTATCTGCAGGGAGCAGGAATATAACGACGAGTCAGGTGCCATATCCCCAGAGGAGATTGAAATGTATGTTCAAAACTTTCGGCTACTAGTTCTTTTCCAGGTCACTCCATCCTTTGATATATTTCCGTTTGTTTCATTTCTTATCCCCATTTGCTTCAGCTGTCCAGTGAAATATGTTTATCACTTTTGGAAAACAGGTTAACCTAAATCATCACCATGTGCAGTGTCGATAAGCGTAGGCTGCCATCTTTCGTCAACTCACAAGATCACATTAATCAAGGATTAGGTCAGTGTTCTTATTTCACTTCCTCCACATGACTGAGACAGCCAGGTGTCTATCTCTTTGCAACCCCCCCCCCCTACCTAGATGCCTTATACTATAATTCATATTATATAGGAAACTTTAAGAGAACAAGGCACGAGATTAAGAAGTGTCTATATAAGGCCACTAACAACACAAGTAAGAAGGGACAGGGTTACGAATACCAGCATTAGAGAAAATGTTGGAATGAAATGATTCGGCCATCTAGTGAGAAGCAGCCAGACCAAACTGCATATGAGACTTTTTACAACAGAACATCTGGAAGTAAGGCGAAGGGAAGACCAAGAAAGGGATGAATAAATTGTGTAGCGGAAACCTGCAAAAAGATGAATGAACAAATCCAGCACCCAAGCAGCTCACGACAAATACATAAAACCAGACTACAACCTGGTATCAGTGAGACGACAAAGCCAGGACACTGGGCTACAACCTGGTATCAGTGAGACGACAAAGCCAGGACACTGAGCTACAACCTGGTATCAGTGAGACGACAAAGCCAGGACACTGGGCTACAACCTGGTATCAGTGAGACGACAAAGCCAGGACACTGGGCTACAACCTGGTATCAGTGAGACGACAAAGCCAGGACACTGGGCTACAACCTGGTATCAGTGAGACGACAAAGCCATGACACTGGCTACAACCTGGTATCAGTGAGACGACAAAGCCAGGACACTGGGCTACAACCTGGTATCAGTGAGACGACAAAGCCAGGACACTGGGCTACAACCTGGTATCAGTGAGACGACAAAGCCAGGACACTGGGCTACAACCTGGTATTAGTGAGGTGACAAAAGAAAGAAAAACAAAGATTGTGTAATGTGTTAAATCTACATTAAAAGCTGTCGGTTATAACTGCAATCTTAATGTGGTTATTCTTCATCTCTATCACATCTCCTTCTTCATAGAGTTCATCAGTTGTAAACTCCATCACAAAGTTCTGGTTGTTCGTCCACTTTTTGACTTTGGTCTTGTTCCAGAACTTGAGTTTTGCAAGCATATCTTTTTTACCATGTGGTATAACTGTATGCAGATTGTTGGTTCTTCATCTCTCCCACTAATGAACTCCTACTTCTTAGGAAATACCCTTAATTGGT